ATGTTTCTTGGGGGAAAAAAATCTCAAAAAAAAAGTATGGACGAATTCCTTATTGTACACAGCACAGTAAGGATTTTGTATGACAGTCTTACAACGTATAGCATCCTGAATGGGGAAAGGATGAAATCATTTCCACCAGCAGAAATAAGTCAAAGATGCCCATTTTTACCTCTTGCCAAATGTATAACTGAGGTTTACACCAAAACATAAATAGAAACAAATAAAGATATCAGGGTAGAAAAGGATGAAGCCATGGATCCTTGTGTACTGACAAGATTTACTATGATAAAACTCCTAAACACTCCACCAAAGCACTTTAGAGCTGAGAAGAAAATTCAATAAAGTAGCGCAACATAAAATCTGCCATGGACCAGCCCAGTCGGGCTCCCGTCGTCCGCGGGAGAACAAGGCTTTGGACAGGAAAACACAGTTTTGGCGAAGAATTGACAGACAGAAACACCTTGATGGTTTTGACTCTGCTGCAACTTTACTGAAATCAAGCTAGTATTTTTATACAAAAGGCACCTTAAAATTGGCCTACTTCCCAGAACATTCAGACTTTTTAACCAAGAATACAAAGTTTACATTTTAACTCAAAATGCAGTCAAACATAAAGCAGTGCCCACAAGAAATCTTGGCCTAAAAACTTTTTGATCAGAGCAAACAAAGAAAAAGAAACCTCAAATGCAGTTTCATTATTGCTAACCAGTGAAGAGGAAAGTCAGGAGCTAAGTCAGATGCCTAGCAAAGTCTTTCCCTGTATCAAAATCTAACTACACTATGTTAACCATCCTTCCATATGTCCAGCCCAAGATTTATGATCTTCCTTAGGAACAAGGCACTGAAGGGAGGGGAAACTCCCGCCAGCTGCACCTCTCATGCTATTATTCCTTAAGAAGGAGCCCATTATTATTTCACTATTCTTAATGCTTATTAATACTAAATCTAATTCATTACCTTTCTTTAAACTTATTATTTTTATTAAAGCCTTTAACAATCTACTAATAATATATTTCTTTATAAAATTAGTTGTGCTGTTTCAGGAGTCACAGAGAATGATCAAAGAATTCATTACTCCAGCCCCAGAGCCACAACTGAAGAAGCATAGAAATCTCAGAACACGTCTCTTTTCCAAGTGGGATGAGTTTGCCAGGGACCTTCCAGGGGGCTAATTTCCGGAGAAAGCATATCCCCCGCCCTGTAGCTTATGCTACTATGGCGACACTGGCGTAGGTGTGGCAAAAATAAATATTCAGAAATCAATATCTGTTTATACACCAATAACAAAGACACTGAGAAAGACATGAACAAAACAAGCCAATTACAATGATTAGGAAGTAAAATACCTAGCAGTAAATTAAATCAAGGATGTGAATGATCCCTATGATGAAAATTATTAAATACTCATGGGGAAAATGAAACAGACAGCAGAAATAACCTCACAAAACTACAATTTAGGTAAAGCTTGAGACAGAATTGCATCTAGTTATGTATCTCTCCATAACCAGGGAATAGGTGGCAGAAAGAAAGACAAGCCATAGAACAAAATAATGTATTAACAATCTATTCTTCTAATAATGATATGATCTAATACTTAAAATGGGTAAAGACCTGCAGCTCTGCAAAGACTTTCTGTCACAAAGAACCACAGATGACCAACATAAAAATATTAAAAATGAATTCAACATCATGAATCATCATGGAAATACAAACCAAAACAATTTTATATTAAACCCACTTAAGCTTTTTAAAAAAAATTTATTCATTTTACATTCTAATCATAGCTCCCTCCCTCGTTCCTTCCCTCTTCTCCACATCCCCCTCCCTTAGTCCTCAGAAACAGGGAGCCCCCCTCCCTTACCGACTGGCCACAGACTATCAAGTCTCTTCAGGACTGCCTGCATCCTCTTTCCCTGAGGCCTGACAAGGCCGCCCTACCCAGAAGAAGTGATCGAGGAGCATGCACTAGAGTCCATGTCAGGGAGAGTCCTGGTCCCTGAAAAGGCTTGAAATTCTGCCATTTGATGCAACATGCACTGAACTAAGGAAGTAAAATAAGTCAATCAGTGAGACAAAGAATAAAGGTTGACACGAAAAAGCTGACTGCTTGATCAAACAGAGGGATAGAATCGCATAGTAGCTATCAAAGTCAAGAAGGGAGGGTTGGGGAAATGAGAGTGGATGCTTAAAGATGTCAAGGAACACCAGGACAGAGGAATGACTTATGACATTCACTAGAATGGTAGGACAACCATAGTTGACCACAACTACTGGAAGATTAAAACACCTAGAAGATAAAGTGTTAAATGTTCTCAACAAAGAAGGTGTATCTGAGGTGACAGATACACCAGTTACCTTGACCATCCAATACATGTGCCCTAGGCATACTAGAACATGTATTGGATGGCAGACTGTACAGCTTAAATAAAGACACTAGGTACACGTTAATTAAACACAGGAAATATTTGGAAATCACACAAAACCTATATAAAGAGGGGCAGACCTCATATCAAGGACTGAGGACTCACCCAAAGCAATCTGCAATGCAATACCATCCCTATCAGAACCCAAGCCAAGTGCTTAGAAAGTTAGAAAGTATATCCTAGCCTTCTTGTCAAGATGAGGATTCTCAAAAACTCACAACCATATAAGCAGCTAGATACACACTTCTCATTTGAAAATTTACAACATAGCTACATGAACCAAAATACTGTGGTGTGACGTGACATGAGGCTAGACACTGAGATCAGAGGAAACAAACAGAAGGTGCAGAAATCATCTCACACCCTCATGGTCTAAAGTGTTTGAAAAGGGGCAGTGGCTACTCATGTAGGAAGAATGATGGGCAGACAAAGGGCTGGGGAAACAGGACATCCACATGAGTTACACGGAGCCAGTTCTCCACACATCAGGACCCTGGACATGTGCTGAAGGACAACAGCCTTAACAGGAAGCAGGAGGTGATGCTGCAGGGCTTTGGACTTGCACAGTCAAGCTTTAGATGTGACAGCAAAGCAAAGCACAAGGCAGAAGACTGGTTGGAATGAAGTGAAGTTGAATTATGTATACAAAAGAACCCCGTCACAAGCGGAAACAGTGTGCATGGTGGGACGGTAAAGCACGTGCTAACAAGCTCTGCCATGCAGGATATTCCAAACCATCAGTATTATCTCCCCTCCCTCCCTCGCCCCAAAGAACACCATAACCCCTATTCTGAAATCTGTGACAAAACCGAGCAGATAGTTTTCCAAAAGCGCCCAAAGGTGAACAAACGTGAAAGACTAGAGAAGGTGAGGGAGGGCATAAAACCTCTAGAACATAGAGAGTTCTCCATGGCTGATTGTTCAGTTGTTCATAGTGATCACAGTCCATCTCGACCCCAGATTTAACCCCCATCATGCCCTGACCCACAGAGCCGTCATCTGACTCACTTTCCTTGGAAAAGGTGAGTCCAGCATTCTGGTCATGGCCACAATAGTTCCATGCTCCCTCAGACAGTGGAATAACAGCAACACAATGACAAAACAGTGGAAGGCCTCTCCACACAAGCCAAAGTAGGAAATTCTGAATGTGAATGTGGCCACCCCATAGCCCAGCTCCCAGAAAAGCAGGAGAGCCATGAGAAGATTCAGTTCAGCATGATAGATGAGGTGCTCACATCCCATCAGGTGGCCTCCATGTGTTCTCGTGAAAGACACTGAAGAGAAGTAACTGAGGTCAGGCAGTCTCTTGTAGGTCACTGACCTGACTGACATCCAGTTCCCAAAAGGGAATAATGTAGAAGAACAATCTGACCAGGCCTGGCACAGAGACCAACAGGGAAAGTACTGGGGTCTGAAGACCAAGAACCCCTCCTCTTGCTATTCTTCAAATCATGGATGGACCTCACACAGGTTCTGACCACAAATGTTCTCTCTTTACTTCAAGGAAGAAATGGGTTCCTGTGTTTCAGTAGGCAGGGTAGGTGGGCACCTACCATGACCTAACACCTCCTCAACCCCAAGGTCCATACTAGAAATAAAGGCTGGGCAGAGCAACAGCATTTACAGATTTGCCCACCAGAGATATCCCAAAGCCTCCCAGTAGCAATGTGTGTGTCAACCATGATGGAACAGAGAATATTCTATTGACCTTGTACTGTGGAGCAGATGCCTGATCCCCTTTCTTCGTACACAGATACCCAAGATCCACACTAAGGTGCTCATCATAGGGCATTCCTACCGGTGCACACCACCTGGCTGTAGGTTACACTTCAGGACTGGCGAAGACCCCCTCAGCAACTCAGGAAACCCAGCACACGGACTGGCACCTCTGGCCAGCCTGACTTGCTGAAAGTTACCACCTGTTGGCACAGGAGAAAAACCTATTCCTAGAAGCCTCTGCCAAGAGTCGTGATCATAGTCTGTAGCAATATGCACAGGACCCCTGATGGTATCACCAACCTTTCCCATTACCCTGGAATAACAGGCAAATAGAGCCCATCCTCCCAGAGTGTTATGATGAACTGGGTGTGCACAGCAAAGACAGCAACTCACAGGTTCTCTTGGGACAGGGCTCTCTCCTCACAAACAGATGTGTCAAGTCTTCCTGACTTGAGCTATGCCTGGTGCACAGTGCCAGTGTTGTAAGGACTCCAAAGTGTTCCCTGAGGTGATCTAGGTACAGCGACGATATACAGAGCTGATGGCTGACTTTAGAAAATACAGGAAAAGTTACTGAGGAGAAGGACGAGGAGGATGAGAACTGATTTCCTTTAGAATAGAGAAGGTAAGCATCCCCCATGGTGTCTCACCGTGGGACTCGATGGGGGCAAGGTGCTCACAGCTGACCACATCCCCCTCCTCCCCTGGACACTTGTCTCAGTGTGTCTAGTTCCAAGGCAGGAAAGAAGAATGGCGTGGGGGAGTCAGGGATGTGAGTAGCCCTCATCCCACTCACCTGAATCGACACCACACGCTGGCACTTAGGGTCACTACGGGCCCCTCAGTGCCCTAAAGAACACTCCCAGAGGGTGGCCTCCTCACCACTGCACTTGGTACCATGCAGCCAGGGTGCCGTCATCTCCTCAGGCCTCAAGACGTATTGGAAGATTGAACATGCCTGGCTACAGCCAAGCTGTCTGCAGATCACCGAAGCTTCCTGCGTGCCCCAGTGGTCACCACACACAAGGCCTTGCTCCTCGCTGTGCTCTGTTTGCAGACGACCATCGCACAGGTTTGTACCATCTATGAGATTCAGGGAACCCTCCCCAACCAATCCTTCTGAGATGAGACACGAGTTAGATGGAGAAGATACCGGGAGTTTCAACCAAAACGTCCCTTGATTAGAAAGCTCATCTTCACTGGCCATCACAGTTAGTCCTTTTTCTCAGATTCCCTCACTATGAGTATTCTGAATTATCACAAATTCAAAATGGTTGCTTTAGTGAAACATAAGTCAGCATAAGTGGGCACAAAGAAATGAGGCATCAGACATCACGAGCACTGTGCTGTCACTGACCTTGGTTGCCAGTATTTTGCATGTCTCTGTTCCTCACATACAGGATCTGTAAACAGCGGGGCACATGCACCAGAAGGGAGGGTCCAGCAGGCCAGCAGTAAGGACCACAGAGCCAGAGAGGATAGTGTCATTCTGGATCCCCTGTACATTCAGCTCCCCAAACTGATGGTCTCAGTTCAAGGACTTGTTCTGCCTCCAAGCAAAAGGTGGGCTCTAGTTTAAAGTGATGCTGCTCTCGAGCCAGAGCCTGTAAGTACTCCAGATGCCATCCCCTATAGATGACATCTCTGTCATCTATAACCCAAAAAAGGGCTCTCATTTACCAGTGCCAGAGCCCAGAAAGCATCAGTGATGTGAAGCTTCCTGCAGCTGGTACCCAATGCAACCCCAGGTGTAAGGAGGGCAAGAAGCCACCCAGCAAGGCCTCAGTGGCTGTGCCTGATGAAACCAGGGTCAAGCAGAACAGCATGTATCTTTCTCTCCCTCGAACAGAAGATCTGGCTAAGGACCAGGGTCTTTCCAGGATTTGTTAGTCATTAGTAAATAGACTTAAATTTTCATCATTTTGTATTTTTCTCCCTCTCCGGGAGCTTTTCACAGGGCTCCTACCAATTCACTCCACCAAAGGTCCCCAGAAATTCTACAAGTATAGCTAACGGATGTAAGCTTTCTTACCATGTGAAAGAAGCTGGAGCCACTCCCAACAAGATGCTCAGGGGAGTTACGGGGCTTCTGGGTGGGAAAGAATGGGAAGTATGAGCAAGACAAGTAAGAGAAGTGAAGTCTTGTACCCATGCCCAGGAAGGAGACAGGACCCAGCCATAGTGAAGACAGACAAGAGGCAGACCCTCTTCCAACTGGGAATCCTCTGCAAAACCTCTGACTTTCGCCTGAGCTGCTACATGCTGGTTTCCATGCCCCACACTATGCTGCCCGTGTCCTAACACCCACATTTAGCAGAGCCTAACGGTCCATGAAAATTGGGACCAAGACACTTGGAAGAACCTATATGAACCAGACCCCAGGAGAGTTTGTTCACCCAAGATGCTAAAAGCTTCTGTTCTCTACTGTGACGCTCTGAGAGTCAATGTTACAACTATCACCTCTAGAATCCAAAGTTTGCCAGTGGGCCCATGCTTAAAGGACAACAGATACTAACACAAATGTGCAACCTGGCCCACATGGCACAGGGAGAGGGCATCAGGAAACATACTTCCCAGAGAGGGGGTGATTGTGTTGGGGAGGAAGGCAGATGCATGGAGCTCTCATTCAATAAGAAGATCACAGACAGTGCTCATCCATAGGAAGACTATGGAGGGTGAGAGCAGGGTGTGACCATGGGCTGGTCACATGGGAATTGTGTCCAAAACTACTCTGGGCATGGAGGATGTGATCCTGAATAAATATGGTCACAATCGATCTGAAGACATTTGATCACATTGGTCACTGTTAATCTTCTAGTGTGTGATGGACGAAAGACAAGGCAGGCATAAATGCTAAAGCCTCCAGTCACCAACAGGCCACTGAGCTAGGAAAAGCCATGCCAGGAGGTGACAAGAAGATCGACACCATGCCTCATCAGGAATCAGCCTCTGCTCACAAAAGGACTGGGGAAAGGATGTGTGGGAAACCTAAAACCTGTGCTCACAAGTGAGAGCAAATGTTCCAGGTCAGGAAGAGAAGAGGAGCCTGGAACAAGGGCCATAGTGGAATCAACTGTTTCTGAAAAGGACTAACAATGATGGCCATATTGAATCAGGTACTAAAAGGATTGTGTGCGCACCTCAGAAAGACCAAAGGAAGAGGAAAGACTGCTCACTCTGATGCTTTGCCTGCTTAGTAGAGGACTCTGGTCTAAGAACCAGCCTTGAAAGGAATGATATACAGCCTAGAGTCACAGGCTAGAGATGTAAGAACTGGTTAAGGGGTACAGGGAAGTGGCAATTGGGTCTGTAAATCGATACAGCAGAAATAGTGGAATGGATCCAGGAAAACAGAGACACCCTTTCCAGAATTAAGAATGCCTAGCCTCTTTCATGTTCTTTCGGGCTGTCTTCAAGCTCTTTGACACTGCCATAGTCCCCTTCACACACCAGGCTCTTGGGATTCTGGAGGCCCTTTCTCTGTCTTCCATGAAGGCAACTTCAATGTGCTCATCTCTCTGAGGGATGTTATCCTGGCATTCCACAACCTGCAGAGCCCATATCAGGACTTTCCAGGATAAACACTTCTGTAAACTCCATAGTGTCTACAACTTCCTGTACATGCTGAGATGCAACACGCTTGGATGAAACATTGAGAGGATAATCTCCACATCACCATACCCATATGCAACCTCTGCAGCATCGAGCTCACAGACTGAGTAGACTGTGGTAACTAGGAGACTGCAAGAGTCTAGAGAGCTGTTGGCCAGTAAGATGGGGTGAGGGGTGGAAATTCAAGAGCTCTGCTTTACATGTGGTGGCTTTAATTTACACCAATATATTCTATCCTTACACGTTGGCAAGAAAGTAGATTTAAACTGTTCTCACCACAAACAAATGATAGATAGGCTTATAAGGCAATGCATATCTTATGTCCATTTAATCACCCCACTGTGTATACACATAGTAAAACATTGTGGTTCTGACAGGAGTACTGGTACGTGCCTTTAGCAGCACTTGGAAAGTGAGGGCAGGAGATTCGGTAGATTCAGTTATCCCCAGCTGTGGGCATTCCCAGCAAAGGACCTTTTAAGCTCACAGCCTGGGTCTGTGGAAGTAGTCAGGCAGAGGGTACAAGGCCTGAAGTTGGGGAGCCCTCCCAGAGACCAACAACCAATGGCAAGCTCAGAGATGGTGTAGTGGAACCTGATTGGTCGCCCAAAACTATATAAAGGGCTCTCTCTTCCTGGAACACGAGTCTGCAGCTGCTTGCATATGGTTTGCACTTACTCAACTCCCTGTGTGTGTGTGATGACTCTGCACCTCTCACCCCCTTGGCCTGAACCCCCTGTATTCACTCCTGGACCCTTGGGAGAAGGCTCAACACCCAGCTACCAAGTTCAAGGCTAACTGGGCTGCCTGAAACTTTGTCTCAAAAGGATAAGCAAAAACAAAAACAAACAAAAAAACTGCACTATACACCTTGGCTGTACATAATTTTCTTGATCAGCTGGAGAATTAAGGAACAAGATTTAATGCTACTAAATTAAAAAATAACAGATAAAGAAGTTTTAAAAACACTTAGGCAATGTATTTTAACCAAACTGTCAAAAAAAGCAGGAAGTCCTAAATCAGCAACGGAGAAGTCACTGTTCATGTACTCCAGGTTCATAATAAGGCTAACAGCCAATCTCTCATCAAAACCAGGAAGATAAAGACCAGAACTAGGGCTGGAGAGATGTCTCAGAGGTTATGAGCACTGCCTGCTCTTCCAGAGGTCTTGAGTTCATATTCCCAGCAACCACATGGTGGCTCATAACCATCTATAATGAGATCTGGTGCCCTCTTCTGTACATGCACACAGAACATTGTATACATGATAAATAAATAAATCTTAAAAAAAGAAAAGAAAAGAAAACCAGAAGTAGGAAAATAAGTTCAAAGTACTGGAAACAAACAAACAAAAAGTCAAACAATGATTTTTCTTTTATCTTCAGTGATACTGCTCTTTCAAGTAAAGGAGAACTTGAGATTTTTCAGGCAAACACAGGCTGGGGAAGCTCAGCACACTTGCCCTACAGATTTCTTCTGTGATGACAACAGAGGGTCCTGGGGAGCATCCTGAAGCTATGTGAAGAAAAAAAGAACTCTGGTATGTGCATACATAAGGAAGCGCGGATGCTATGATTGCTGTGCTTTTGAAATGCAACTTCTTTTCTCCTAAATGATTGACATTTCATTGCATAAACCCTAATTAAAAGATGTAAAATACGAAACTATAATTTGTGAAAATGTCTCAAAGGGGAAAACAAATAATATAGAAACAGAATGTGTGTGTGCATGTGTGTATATAGGGAGTGTATATATATATATATATATATATATATATATATATATATATATATATATA